GGTCTGGTCTGGTCTGGTCTGGTCTGGTCTGGTCTGGTCTGGTCTGGTCTGGTCTGGTCTGTCTGTCTGTCTGTCTCTCTGTCTGTCTCTCTGTCTGTCTCTCTGTCTGTCTCTCTGTCTGTCTCTGTATGCTTGTATTCATGTCAATATGTATGTAAAGATGTATGAATGTATGCATGCATGTAAGCATGTACGTGTATGTGTGCTCACATGCACGTGTACATAAACAAACAAGTATATGCATAACTAGATACACATTTGCGGAAATTCTAAGGAAATGCATGCGCCCTTTCCCGTACATGCCGAGCAGATTGTGCCATGTCGTGAAAGACTGGTTGGTTGTTGGCTAGTGAAAGAAACTGGAAGCACCCAAAAAATGGCTTCAGATTTGTCACATGATCCTGTCGAGTACCTGATTGAGATAACAAATCCGGAAGAATGGGTGATATTCATGGCTATCCAAACAACCTACTGGACTCAGAACGACAACTGATTCGGTCAAACAGCTCGAAAGACCCCAAACATCGAAACTAGGAAAGGGAGGCCGCGACAGCTCGTAATTGCTTTGGTCCGTCTGATGCAGAAAGATGCATGCTTGGACCAGGGTTTGTGATAGTAACAACAGAGGCCCTAATATTGGGACAACGGGAAGGAAACGTTGTAGTCACGAAGCCCAAGATCTGATGTCGTATAGCGGATTGTTTTAAGTGCAATGGCCTTTTCGTCTGAGCGTAACGGTTTAGGGTTTAGGGTAAACTTCCGAATTCGCAACACTCCGAAGGGCCTGCCGCTCGCATGCAGCTGCCTGCTTCTTCCTGGCATGATTTCGGACTCACAATGTTACAGCCTTAGAGCTTGTAGCATACTTCGTCCCGATTTCAGACCTGAGTTCTTACGGAGTTCAACGAGAGATCCAGAGTACAGCTGATCCTTTGTAATGTAGGGGCCCGAGTAATTACCTATACTAGTTTGGGGGGTATGATATTGTAATATAATGGGCCCCAAAACCCTATTCTAATTATTACGGCCCCTATATTCGTAGTTGCGGCCCTAAAAGTCCAGAGTCTTGGAGTCTTGGACATCATCTGCCAAGGCTCGCATATGCAAGGCCCATCGGAAGGTGTTTGGGTTTACGGTTCGGGTTTAGGGTTTGGCCGAACCCCCCGACTTGTGCTGCAGCCTTCTCTTATAGGTCTCAGACCAAGGAGCATCATAAATAGACGTAAGCAGGTGTAGTAAGCAGATTGCCAGGAGCCTGCAAGCTGCAACAACTGTTCGGGGACACAGAGACGCATTCGGCAGGTGAAAGGCTTTGTGTCTAGACGTGCACCTGTCGACATGAAGTTTTGGGACTGCAGGTTCAAACCCTGCTTGGAACTCGGAAATGTCGGTGGCTCTGCAAGATTGCTTACACTTGTCGCCATGCTAGTGCTCCTCATTAATGTTGCTATTCCTCCGGATCCCTGTCCTCCCCTTCCTCCCGCTGCCATTACAGCTGCAGGCTTTACGGCTTTGTGCACGCGGCCCTAGTAATACCAACACCCGAAAGCACGTAGCCTCAATTTTCCACCAAAAATCCTTCCGATGTAGGGGCCTTCTAAATTAGAATAGGGTTTTGGGCTCCGCTATACTTCTCTAGTTATAAAACTTCTATTTGGATGCTGGGGCCTAGGGTTAAGGAGACCCATCACCAAAAAGCTCGTAATACCCGTCTGGAGGCACAAGGCAGGAATCTCATAGCTGGCGTTCTGGATCAACAATCGGGCCTGGGGCTGAGTGAGCAACTTGGACATGGGAGCTTCTCAAGAGAGTAATGTACGGGCCTTAATAATTAGAATATTTTTTTTTTTTGGGGGGGTCCTTATTATAATTTTAGTATGATATGCCCCAAACCCTATTCTAACTATCAAGGCCCATATAATGTTAGACATCCGACATCAGAGCATCGATAGTTGCGGAATGGGATGGTGTCAGCTGTGCAGCTGGCTTCATAACGACGATGAGCAAGACTATCATGGTGATGATGCTGCTGCTGATGCGGATGAACATGGACATGACTGAATACATATGGTGAAGATAACGACGACGGGGATCACGATGGTGGTGATGATGATAGTGGCGCTGCTGCTGCTGATGAAGATGGTGACGATGATGGTGACGATGATGATGATGAGGAGGAGGATGAGACAGAGGATGACCCCTGAGGATGACGAGGATGGGGATGATGAGGAGGATAAGGATGACTACGGATGATGGTGATTATAATGATTATGACGATGATGATGACACTCATGGCGATTATCATGGTGATGATGAATAAATGAGAGTGATGATGATGGTGGTGGTGGTGGTGATGATGTAGGCGACGGTGGCGATGTTGCTCAAAAGCGAATGATCGCGATGACTGTGAGACCTAGATGATGGCGATAGTGCTAAGACACCCAAGTGTGAACAACAAGTTCCATCTGGATACTGACATCGGGGAACGGGAAGCAGGGAAGCAGAATGAGTGTAGCAGTAGCAGCATCATAACGGAAATGGTGCACGCAAAATGACAACTGCAAGCGAACGTGTCATAATCACTGTGCTTACGTGTAATTGACCGTGTATGTTAGCCGGACGCCCAGGTTAGACAACGGAAGTCGTGCACAGTGGTATGGACGAAACAGGAAGCTGGAATCGTCGGGACACCATGCTGCGTCACTGTTTGTGGGGTCAGAATGTCTGCTGCAGAGAATAGATGCATGAGATTTGAGATCCAGCTGTGCATACAGATGTTTCTTGGCTTGGTGCACGACTCGAAAGCCTCTTTATCACGATTGGGTGCAAAGTTTTGGGATGCGGAGCACTGACTGCGTAAACCAACCAGCCGCACAGAACCCTTCTACTGTCATCAAGGCTTTTCTAGCTATGGCCAAGGGAAGACAACTTCCAACCACCTCTTCGAAACCATCCCTAGCCCCTATAAACACTATACAGTCCTGAGTCCCGCACCCTAAGAAAATCGCTGCTCCCTTAACAGCAAGCCGCCCGAGACCCTAAATTCCGAGGATCAAGACATTCTGGACCTTAAAAACCCAACAGAAACCAAAGCCCTAAATGTCGAGACACACCAAACCCTGTGTGAACCCTCAGAACAAAACCCAACACAAAGGCGGGGACCCACGAACCGGCGGTACGGAACCCGGAAGGACGGCCACCGCAATGTTCCTGTAAAAGGTTCCTCTAAGAGGGTTTAGGGTTTAGGGTTTAGGGTTGGCTCTGTGGAACTAGAGGGCCCGAGAGACCCCAAAATAATAAGGGTACCCTTTTTCCAGCTATTCTATCATCACACGGGGAAAAATACCAGAAAAATGGGCAAAAAGGGTACTACTCAGGAGCCTAGGGAACCAAAAGGCCTCGGCCTTCAGGATCGGGATTCAGGCTTTGTGGTTTATTTAATTTATTCGGGTTTAGGTTGTAGGGTTTATAGGGTTTAGGGATGGAGTCTTTTTGGGCTTTGGGGTTTCGGCCTGAATGGCTCCAGCTTTAGGATGCATTATGAAAACAGATCGCACAAGCATGGATCCCACTACTTTGCGAGGGCCCCCTTACATCGAAGAACTCTTCAGATAAAGCTCAAACCGTCCACACGCCTCAGCCTTGATTAGGGCGTATATAGGGGGCTCAGGATGTGATACTTTTCATGCGGACTGTGTAACGATGTTGAACTGATTCCCCTCTCAGGTGCTCTGTCGGATCCTGGGGCAGAAGCCGCGCTGGCCCATCCCAGATGGCGGCGCTTGTACCTGCGCCGGCAGACACTAGGATCCTCGATGTTTCGGACCCTGAAGAGGGCCCCCCTAATGTCCCGCACCCTCTGCTGAGGTTCGGGATTTGGGTTTAAGCCTGTCTGTTCGAGATTCAAGATTATCGAATGCCAATCTGGTGCAGGTAGATTTCTAGACTGCTACTTAGGTCGGTCACGTAGAGTATGGCCCACTAACTTCAGGCGCTGTGCATTTGTACGTTGCGAATGTTGCGAATGGGCACATGTCCAGTACCGCCTTCCATTTCGCAACACCAGGGTGCGAATGCCCACCTTGACATGGGGTTTAAGGTTTAGGGTATAGGGTTAGGGATGGAAGTGAGAAGGGAGCTTGGAAGCTAAACCTTAACGCGTTCACCGCCTTAACCCTGAACTACCGGGTGGCAACACACATCCACATTCGGGCTTCTGAAATGAGGCCTGCATACCTTCCACGGGCGAACATGCTATGAAACGGAAGTTGTTGCTACTGTCAGGTACAGACCATAATGGCCAAGGTCTATCTATGCTGGGAGTATGACCACAGTCACTGCGACGTCCTTTCTCGTGCTCTTTGCATCGAAGCGTCGTCCTCAAACCGGAACCTCTTGGGTCGCCTCTCGAACCCTTACAACGCCCCAAACCACTGAAAGTGCTGAGAAGCCAAACCCCAGGCTGCCCTACACCCTAACCTCTCATAAACCCCTCAAAAACCCCCAATGTGAGGGGAAGCCCTAAACTTCCTACACCCCAAGTTCTCTAACACGCTGGGAGTCCTACCCAGCATGCTCTTGGCCTGCCCCTCTGGAGACTTCGCTGCTGCCTCAGACAAAGAGATTTCAAGTGCCCCGATCCGTTGTATGGGGTTTAAAGTTACCAGTGGGGGCGTTTAGTGGAACCTACAAAACAGTTCCGGTATTCGAATCTTGGATCCCACCGGTACAACTTGTGTCGGTTTGTATCCTTGGAGGCTCGCTTAGCCACAAATGACAAGTGGTACATCAGCTAGCCCCTCCCTCAAGGATCTACTGTTTTCGTGTGCTGGGGTTCACCCAGCCACAAAATGTTAGATCCATGGGGGGTGTACCCCATATATATATATATACACACATATGTATGTATGTATATATGTATATATATATATATAACTATATAACTATACAGGGCCCGAATTGCCCCCGACAGCTGGGGGAAGATCGCAGAGCCCCAGAACCGCAGCCATGGTCCCACGGGGAAGGCGGTTCGTCAAACAACAGCTGCCAAACGGAGATGGCAACGATTATGGCACTGGCTTCCACCAGCTTCCTGGCCCCACACCACTGCTCCACTGCTGCAGATGAAGGCTGACAGATGTACGAAAATCGTGATCTTCCTGCGCTGCTGGCATCTCGGCGGCACGGTGAGCTTTTGCAGAAGGCCCGTCACATTATCCTCAACCCGGACAACCATCTGTGTCAAAATGCCCTGGAACGGCCGATGTACGTCGGTAAGGAGCTCACGTCCAAGGGGCTCTGGCAGCAAGATACCAGGGGCCGATTCCTGGACTCCATCACGGTGCTGCACGGCAGCGCGAGTGGCAATGCAGAGGAGCTGGCGAACACTCTAGTTCAAGACCTCAATGCAAGTGGACTTCTGATATCCACCGTGAGAACGTTGGATGACTTCGAGATCGAGGTGCTACCAGACCAGAAGAAGATTGTCATCTTGGTGGCGTCCACGTGCGGGCTGGGCGCATATCCGGCCAGCTGCAAACAGACCCGGCTGAAGCTCCAGTCTCCATATCTGCCATTGATTGGGCTGGCAGGTGTGAAGTTCTGCGTTTTCGGCATGGGCGATTCCACTTACAACCAGTTCTGCGTGGCCGCTGCTGGCTTCGACACCGGCTTCAAAGTTCTCGGGGCCCCAGCTTTGCCGCCGGGCCTGGACATTCCTGCGCCTTCCGATCGCGTGAATGCATCACCTGGTGGCTTGGCAAAACCACCATCAGCGACGTCGGCATCTTCACACCCCGTGCCAACAGACTCTCGCTACTAAATGCCGACCGGTGATTGTAAGTACGACCGTGACATGCGGCATTATGAGTTCAAGGTTGAAGGCACTAACGTTGCTTACAACACAGGCGAGCGCCTTAGCACCTTGCAGCCCGGAAGATCAGGTCCCGGAGTTCTGCCGTATGTCGATGGGCTTGCTGGGCGCTTCGCTTTCATGCGAATCAGACCTCACACGTGCTGGTGCGTATATACGCAATCACTGTATGCAGCGGCACGTCTGAGAGGGCACAGTGACGTTTAATTTTCCATTGTGAGGGACCTACCCTGTAGTTGGCCTCCCCTGTTCCCTGGAGGAATACGCTCAGGGTACAAGTGTGAACACGTATTCAGGTTGTCATTGAGGATTTCCTGCACCTTTACATTGCACTTCAGCTGGTGCTTTTCGCCATCTTGGCTCCGATGTTATTTGAAGTTTTGTCTAGTGGGTTAGATGGCTGTTGAGAGGACGGTTTTTCTTATCGTGCCGGTTAAATCCCCTCCGCCATTCCCACATGCTGAGTGCAAACTGGGTTACACCTTGTATGTGCTTCTCATCCTGCGTGGCCCAGATTGCTGCTCCAGCGAGGTTCCACCCGAATTCGGCTCGTGCTAGGAGCGCGTCCCCTGGACTCTCAGCTCACCGAAAGAAAGAAATATAACTATACAAAGTACGTTGCATATTCAGTGTATAGAAATATATATATATATATACATATATATATATATATATATTATTATACACATATATATATATATATATTATACACGTATATATATATATACACATGTATACATGTAGACTCGGAAAATGGAGGGAGCTGTGCTTCTTGGGTGTCAAGGCCTCATAGATCTTCTTGGCAGCCAGGTAGTGCACGTTCTCTCCGTGCTCCGAGATGAGCTCATTGGCTGCCTCGGTTTGTCTTTGGCTGAGGGTTTAGGGTTTAGGGTTTAGGGTTTAGGGTTTAGGGTTACTTACATTGGCTGTCTCGGTTTGTCTTTGGCTGAGGGTTCAGGGTTTAGGGTTTAGGGTTACTTACATTGGCTGCCTCGGTTAGGGTTTAGGGATTAGGGTTTAGGGTTACGTACATTGAGTCTAAGCCAGGACCTAAGAGTGAGGGCGCAAGGATTCATGGGTTCTAGTGGTCAAGGATTGAAGGACTTAGTGCTTCGGGGTTTGCAGGGGGAGGGTTTAGGATCTGGGGCTGCAGGGCCCTATAGTGAGGGTTTAGGACTTTGAGGCCGGCGCGGTCTTCAGGCTTCAGGGATCTGACCCCGAAGCCCTAAACCATGCATCCTATAAATCCTAGACCACGAGCCACAGGCCTTGTCTGTGATCTCTTCCTTTCTTGCTTCGATGATTCTCACCTCCAACGATGCTGCAGAAAGGGCTTACGGCTTAGGGTGTGTAGTAGCGGGTGGCAGGCTGTGGGGCTTCAAGGATTTCATATGCAGTACAGGACTCTACAAGACGGTACGTTACAATCCGATGACACACAATGTACTAAGATTGTGCGTTGGGCCTAAG